CACACACACACGCACGCACACACACACACACACACACACACACACTCGTACAGACCAACACATGCACAGATTTGTGTTGTCATTTTTCCCAAGTGAAGCTGCTAGTAGCAGCATGACACTCTCTCTCACACACACACACACACTCTCTCTCACACACTCACACACACACACACTCTCTCTCACACACACACACACACACACACACACTCTCTCTCTCTCTCTCTCACACACACTCTCTCTCACTCACACACACACACACTCTCTCTCACACACACACTCCGATATAAACCCGAGCGAGTGACGCTCCGCTCACACAAGCCCTCTGAGCCCTGCACAGACAGCACTACAGACACTGCGCTGTGACCTGTTTTGCTACAAGTGCCGCGGTTAAACTATGGTTAGTGTAGCAAAACCAGGGCTAATCTGTGGTTACCATAGTTTAACTATAGCCTAAACAGCATGGTTACTTTATTTGTGGTAAAACCATGGTTCATTTCCATAAAGGTTGATTCTCGTGAAAATAATGTCTCTGACTGTGTTCAACATTGATGTAGCGAATCAGCTCATGGGGAAATATGAATAATTAACCATAACTAGTTATAGTTATAATTAACTATTCATATTTTAGATCCACTGTAGATATTTAGCTGACCACTCAGGGTCAACCGTCTTGTCAATTCTAAGAATGTTAATTTCCTGGTTAAAGGAAATAACTTTCTTACTGTACAATTCTATAAGCTTGTAACGTAAATCTGCATGATTATTGACTCCGGTTATGAGTAAACAATGAACACGTCAAGTGTGATACAAGTAAGGTTTTATTAACTACATAAACACTTAAACTAGTCTAACATACTACATAAACACATTAAGCCGGTCTAACATACACATACACACACACACACACACACACATACAGTTGGTATAGGAAAGGGTTAAAGTTTAACTCAGCATAGAAAGAGGCATAAAGAATGGATTTTATGGAACACTTTGCATGTATATTCAACAGATCAAAGCCTTCAGGGAAACATCAGATTCTGAGTTCAAACACACCTTGTAGAAAGGTGTAACTGATACTTAATGCATCAATTAAATCGACTAAGTTTGATACTTGCACGTCTGTATGAACAAAGATTCCTGATGCGATCTTACGGCCCCAAGATCTTGCTGAAGTTGGTTGATGAGAAAGAACCAGTTTCAGTCAGAGTCACTTGATGAATGGAAAGGACTAGGCCGAAAGGCCTGGAACAATCTTTGATATCCTGAAGCGTTTTTTTCACATCTTCTTAGCTTAAGAACGAACCACCGACTGGGGCGGGTCTCTTGAAGTGTGGCCTTTAAAGCCTGCAGAGATTCACGCCTCTCAAGATGGGCTTGCCCAATGGGGAAGTCCGGAATCTCAAGTGGGAGTTCTGCGTTTTTATGGCCCTTTGTCTCTAAGCATGGTATTTTGCATATGTAATTCACTTGAGTGTTGATGCAGAAATTAGTAATGATTCTTAGAACATCCATATGTTGCAGAGGTATCAGCATGTAATATGCACTCTCAGTTAGATCATCCGAAGACGAATTCATAGATACTAGACATGGTACTTATATGAATGAGTGGTTTATCGTAAGCATGAATAAAAATAGTCTATAATACAACAGATTAAATACAAAACAGCAATAATACACACAATGGCCTGAAGAAAATGTGTGTTCATTCAAAGAAAAGGTTTTCCTATGAATTAATTAGTAGAAAAGTCAGTTTCTCCTGTGCATTTGTGCCTTTCTTATGAGGAAAATGAGGGAGTTTATCCCCTGCATTCCTTTTAGGCCATAAAACCAGTGATATCAGCATTGGTTACCATGGAACCGCTATCCTTCTCACATTCCTGGGGGGTCATAAAACCAGTGATATCATGATTAGTTGTCATGGTGACCAGAGCGCCTGGTGTTCAGCAGACATCCTGGCATCCAGTTAATTGAGTGAGGGGACTGTGACGATTTGTTAACCTAATGAATAATTGATTTGTTAAATCAAATTAAAATTAGTGTGTCAGATTGGTCGAGACGCTACATTGATAATAATCAGAAATGTTTATCAGCATTTTATACTGATTTCTGAAGATCATGTGACACTGAAGACTGGAGGAATGATGCTGAAAATACAGCTGCGCATCACAGAAATACATTACAGTTTAACAGATATTCACACAGAAAACCGCTGTTTTACACTGTAATAATATTTCACAGTTTTCAGAGTATTTTGATAAGTGTAGAAGAGCAGAGGAGCCTCTCTCAGACGCGTGATGGTCTGCGGTTGTGTGTCGTTCCTCAGGTGAAGCAGATCGAGAAGAGAGACTCGGTTTTAACCTCCAAACAGCAGATCGACAGGTTACTGCGACCAGGAGCCTCGTACTTCAACCTCAACCCGTTTGAGGTCAGCTTGTGTCAGCCATCTCTGAAGCTCACACTGATACCACCGACACTGGTGTTTGTAGAATACAGACACACACACACACACTCACTCACTCTCTCTCTCTCTCTCTCTCTCTCTCTCTCTCTCTCTCTCTCTCTCTCTCTCTCTCTCTCTCTCTCTCTCTCTCTCTCTCTCTCTCTCTCTCTCTCTCTCTCTCTCTCTCTCTCTCTCTCTCTCTCTCTCTCTCTCTCTCTCTCTCTCTCTCTCTCTCTCTCTCTCTCTCTCTCTCTCTCTCTCTCTCTCTCTCTCTCTCTCTCTCTCTCTCTCTCTCTCTCTCTCTCTCTCTCTCTCTCTCTCTCTCTCTCTCTCTCTCTCTCTCTCTCTCTCTCTCTCTCTCTCTCTCTCTCTCTCTCTCTCTCTCTCTCTCTCTCTCTCTCTCTCTCTCTCTCTCTCTCTCTCTCTCTCTCTCTCTCTCTCTCTCTCACACACACACACACATATATATATATATACACACTAGTGCTGTCAGACGATTAATCGCGTCCAAAATAAGTTTTTGTTTACATAATATATGTGTGTACACTGTGTATATTTATTATGTATATATAAATACACACACATGCATGTATATGTTCATGAAAAATAGGTTAAATTTATATACTTATGAAATTAAGCATAGACCATTTATCTTTTCAAATGTTTATTTTGTCATCATTGCTATATCCAGCAAAGTAAACCAAAAGATTGGAGGGTGATTCTCAGACATCTGTATTTGTCTGCAAGCTTTTTTTTCAGGATAAATTTAGATGTCTTTCCAAAAAAGGACACTTAGAAACTCCAAATGGACACCAAAGAACCAAATTATATAAGAAGCACATATAAGCACATATGAAAGAAAGAAATCTGAATTGTATAGTATGGGTACAGTGCAACAGCAAAGAGCTTTTTCACACTTTAGAGAAGCCAAGTTATGATACCGAACAGCACCACATGGAGATGCCAAAAAACCTTAAACCAACCGCCTGCTGACTGCATATATCTACTACAGTACACAGATCCATTCAGAATAACTAAACGTACATCTACTACAGTACACGGATCCATTCAGAATAACTAAACTCAGCAACATAAACATGACAAATCAAAACATTATCGTGAATGTGTGTGGAAACAGTGTGAATATATGGAAATGTCTGTGCTTGTGCATAAATACAGTGTGCGATCAGTGCGTCAAGAGCACTCATACACTCATTATTATAACGGACTCACGCATGCTTACTGTACTGTATGCCACCGCAATCGTCTTTACCTTGATTGCAGTCTTCATTCATCAAAACTTCACTAGCGAAACACTGGTTATCCAGTCGAGAAAGCGTAGTTTGCATCTCATCTGGCCATACAGCAGTGGGATGTGTTGACAATCCGTTCAGTCTGTACTTCACACAGCGTGACGTGTGAGAATTCATTCCCATGCCTGGTGTTATTTTAGTAGTGTTTTAGTTATTTTATTATCATCGAGATACTAATATAGTTTTTGTTAATATTTTATTTTAATATTTTAATTTTAATTAATTTTTTTATTTTATTCATGTTAAATTTAGTTAAAGTTTTAATACTTTTTAGGGTGTCTTTGTCATTTTTATTAGTTTTAGTTTTAATTATTTTACTTTATTAAGTTAAACTAAATAAAAATAAATGCTGCCTTGGCAACTAGCTGAAATTAGTTTAGGTTTTTAATATTTTATTTGATTTCAGGTAGAATTTATTTTATTATTTCAAGTAATATAATTTTATTTATGGTTTTAGTTAAGTAAAATAACCTTGTCCACTAAATTCATTCCCTTGTTAGGAAGGAATTATTATTTTTGTCATACATCACTCGTCTTATTTTTAATAAATGTTCTGTTTAATATAAGTGAGTTTGTTGTTGTACTGTTTTATTGTTGTGAGAATAATAATCAATCCACTGTTTTCAAGCACTGGTTTTGTTTAAAGAAAGGGAAAGATGTGAAGATCTAACGATAAAGATCACAGAAACAGCATCGCTGTCAAATATCCTGTGCTGGAATCACTAATATCCATGCTGTTGTTTGACCTGTGTGTGTGCGTGTGTGTGTGCGCGTCTGTGTGTGTGCGCGTCTGTCTGTCTCTGTGTGTGCGTGTGTGTGTGTGTGCGTGTCTGTGTGTGTGTGCGCGCGTGTGTGTGTGTGCGCGCGTGTGTGTGTGCGCGTGTGTGTGTGTGTCTGTGCGCGTGTCTGTGTGTCTGTGTGTGTGTGTGTGTGTGTGTGCATGTTTATGTGGTTTATGAGGACACAAATTTGTATAATAAAATGGGTATGACAGGTATTACAACAAGAAGGTGATTTATGAGGACATTTTCAGTGTCCCCGTAATTCAAAAGGCTTAAAAATAATTCAGAATGAGTTTTTTTGAAAATCTAAAAATGCAGAAAGTCTCCTGTGAGGGGTAGGTTTAGGGGTAGGGTTGGTGTAGGGCAACAGAATATACGGTCTGTACAGTATAAAAACCATTACACCTATGGAGAGTCCCCATTGTGTTTGTGTTTGTGTCATGGGGTGGTGTGTGTGTTTGTGTCCTCTGGTGGTGTGTGTGTGTGTGTTTGTGTGTGTGTGTGTGGGTGTGTCGGTGTGTGTGTGTGTGTGTGTGTCTGTGTGCGTGTGTGTGTGTGTCTGTGTGTGCGTCTGTGTGTGTGCGTGTGTGTCTGTGTGCGTGTCTGTGTGTCTGTGTGCGCGTGTGCGTGTGTGTGTGTGCGTGTGTGTGTGTGCGTGTGCGTGTCTGTGTGCCTGGGTCTGTGTCTGTGTGCGTGTCGTCTGTGTGTGCGTGTCTGCGCGTCTGCGTGTCCGTGCGTGCGTGCCTGCCTGTGTGTGTGGAGTGTCTGTGTGTGCGTCTGTGTGTGTGTGTGTGTGTCTGTGTGTGCGTCTGTGTGTGTGTGTGTGTGTGTCTGTGTGCATGTCTGTGCCTGTGTCTGTGTGTGTGCGCGTGTGGTTGGTGCAGGTTCTTCAGATCGATCCTGAAGCCACAGACGAGGAGCTGAAGAAGCGTTTCAGACAGGTAGATCTTCATCTCTCTGTGAGTGTGTGTGATTCAGAGAGTCTCAGTGTCTCACGCCCGTCTCTCTCTCTCTGTCCTCAGCTGTCCATCCTCGTCCATCCAGACAAGAACCAGGACGATGTGGATCGAGCCCAGCTGGCCTTCGAAGGTAAACCGCAGCGTCTCTGCAGCTCATGCTGGTGTCAGAGCGTCCTGAGTGTGTGATGCTGAGCGTGTGTGTGTGCACAGCGGTCGATAAGGCTTATAAGATGCTGCTGGAACAGGAGCATAAGAAGAAGGCGCTGGATGTGATCCACGCGGGGAAGGAGTACGTGGAGCACATGGTGAGCCGCTGGTGATCTCCAGACACACGTGTGTTTCTACAGCGCTCTGCTCTGAACACCAGACTGACCTCTGACCTCTCACAGATGAGCCAGCAGAAGAAGCAGCTCAAGAAAGACGGGAAGCCCACAGAGGTGGAGGAAGACGACCCGGAAGTGGTACGTTCACGCCTCGACACGTTTGTGTCACGTGACACTGAGATGCTTCTGCGTGATGAATGTTTGACATGAAGGTCAGGATTTCATACAGACACTACACGCAAAAACTGTTTACATGCACTGGGCAACTCTGTGATTTTGGTCTGTTTTGCTTCCATATCATGTCTATGAAAGAGGATAAGGGCTAAACAATAAAAAAAAACAAGTGGTTATAATGCAAGATTACACTCGATAAATTTCAAGAATAAAGGCATTGATATTTTGACTTTTTCTTGAAATTTAACGAGTTTATTCTCAATTTTATTTCAACTTTTTTCTTGAAATTTATCGAGCTTAATCTCGCATTATAATGCTCTTCCATAGTCTTCACGTTGACAGTCAAACCACGCCATCATTGGTCATTCCTAAACCAATTTTTTATTTTTATTTGGCCAATCATTTAGTGTGTTTAAACCCCGCCCCTAAAGCTCACGCTTGTCTGAGAGCCACGCCCATATTTCCACATCCAATCAACAACTGATACGCTGATCCAAGCCCCGCCCTCATCATTCCTTTACAGTAATCTATTACATGTGTTCATCAGATCTGGTTCTACTTCAGTTTCATCGTGGCATTAACCGTCTGCTGCTGCTCACATGCAGGTCAAAACATTTAATTATTTCAATCAAATCAATGTACTCTATTTTAGTGCAGTAATGTTTTTATTTAATGTTTTGTATTTGTAGGGGGTTTTATGGTACTATATTGTATTTATGGAATAGTTATGATCCATTGATTACCTGTTAACCACTTTTTGAGCTGTGGTAAATCTTGAGTGCTTTGGAGCACAGACTGAAGTTTGGTCTCTTTTTAATGGAAACACTTGGCAGTGAAAACTGTAAAAAAATTAAATTTGTCATGTTATATGAAAAGTATATTTTCCAAAACATTTTTCACTGTAGATTTATAGCTTTGATTTTTTTCACAATTTTAAAGAAGTTTGAGTTAGATATAAAAATGAGCTTTCAGAGAGATTTTGTTTGGCCGCAGTACCAAAGGTTTTCACTAGATGGCATTGATCTCTCATTCATTTGCAATGCATCATTTTTTACCACAAATGTCACCAGTGTGATTGTTTTATTCAGGACTATTTAACCTTTTTGAATCATGTCAATAATTGTGTGTGTGTGTGTGTGAGAGAGAGAGAGAGAGAGAGAGAGAGAGAGAGAGAGAGAGAGAGAGAGAGAGAGAGAGAGAGAGAGAGAGAGAGAGAGAGAGAGAGAGAGAGAGAGAGAGAGAGAGAGAGAGAGAGAGAGAGAGAGAGAGAGAGAGAGAGAGAGAGAGAGAGAGAGAGAGAGAGAGAGAGAGAGAGAGAGAGAGAGAGAGAGAGAGAGAGAGAGAGAGAGAGAGAGAGAGAGAGAGAGAGAGAGAGAGAGAGAGAGAGAGAGAGAGAGAGAGAGAGAGAGAGAGAGAGAGAGAGAGAGAGAGAGAGAGAGAGAGAGAGAGAGAGAGAGAGAGAGAGAGAGAGAGAGAGAGAGAGAGAGAGAGAGAGAGAGAGAGAGAGAGAGAGAGAGAGAGTGTGCGTGTGTGTGAGAGAGAGAGAGTGTGAGTGAGCGAGAGAGAGAGAGAGAGAGTGTTCACACAGCAATTGGCCAAATCTTTACCATGTTTTGTACCATTTCAATTCAGTTAAAGACTCTAAAAAACTAAAACCAAACAGCAGTAGAGTAACAATATCCTGATTGACATGTGATCCTGACGTGTTTTTAGCGTGTTTGAGCTCTGATAGTGTGTTTGTGTGTCTGTAGTTCCGGCAGGCGGTTTATAAACAGACCATGAAGCTCTTTGCCGAGCTGGAGATCAAGAGGAAAGAGCGAGAAGCCAAGGAGATGCACGAACGGTAGACACACACACACTCTCACACACACACACACTCTCGCGCACACACACACACACAGAGAGAGACACACACAGATGCACACACGTGTGATGAGACTGGAGCGTCACACACGTGACGGAGTGTCCTGTGATTGCAGGAAGAGACAGCGGGAAGAGGAGATCGAGACACAGGAGCGCACCAAGAGAGAGCGAGAGTGGCAGAAGAACTTTGAGGTGAGAGAGAGAGTGTGTGTCTGTGTGTGTGTGTGTGAGTGAGTGAGAGAGTGTGTGTGTCTGTGTGTGTGTGTGTGTTAGGGATGGGCGATATCTTATCGTTTGCGATGTACCGTTAAAAATCCTCCTCACGATAATAACGATAAGCCTAGTTTATGATGTAGTTCCGTGCATGACCCATTCACCGCTCGTGCGGAGCGATAACTAGCATGGCGGAAGGCGGACGTGAGGCTGAAGAGGAGCTTGTTGCTAAGCGAGGCGCTACCTCCACAATTTGGAACTGGTTTGGTTATAGAAAATCAGATGCGGAGCAAACGACCGTCATATGCAAGGTTTGCAGAAAAACAGTGGTTACAAAGAGTGGAAACACGTCCGATTTGTTCCACCATCTCAAACACAAACCAGAGTGCGACGAAAGTTTGAAGATGCGCGAGGAGAGGGAGACACCGACTACAAGTAGCGTTAGACCTGAGGCTAAGAAAATTCCTACTCGGACGAAAATGGCCAGCGCATTTGCTAACTGCGTTCCTTATGATAAGCAAAGTAAGCGATGGAAAGAATTGGCAGTGGCAGTGGCGTTTTGTTTGGCAAAAGACATCGAAAAAGAAGGATTCAAGCGAATGATCCATAAACTGGACCCAAGATACAACATGCCTGCAAGGAAGTGCGTTTCCGAAACAGTTCTGCCAGCGTTGTATGAAGAGTGCCGTGGTAGGGAACTAACAACGCTGTCTACGGCGGATTTTTATGCCTCAACTACAGACCTGTGGAGTAGCCGAGCGACTGAGCCGTACATGAGCCTTACGGTCCTTTGTATAACGAGTGACTGCTGTTGCATCCAGACAAGTTTGTTTCCAGATGACCACACGGGTGAAAACATCGCGAGTGGCTTGAGGCGGTTTCTTCGAGAGTGGAGTTTAGACGAGGAGAAACAGGTGTGCCTAACAACGGACAGTGGAGCAATATAGTAAGAGCAGTAACTCTGAACACTCTTGCTTTGGCCATTGTCTACACATTGCTATTGGTAAGTTTAATCTTTCTCTCTTCGTGTCAGTATATTTTATGCATGCACACTGAGCAAACATGAGCTTAATATTTGCTGCATTTATGTATTTGTTTCTGCATTAGAAATGTAACCGTATGCAGTATTTTGAACAGTAAATCATTACATTAGGTAATATGTATGTGTGACCCTGGAGCACAAAACCAGTCATAAAGGTCCATTTTTCTAAATTGAGATGTATACATCATCTGAGAGCTGAATAAATGAGCTTTCCATTAGGGGTGCTCCGATCAGGGTTTTTGAGGCCGATCGCTGATCACCGATACCCATCTTTTAAAAGCCTTCTTTTTTTATCATTTATAACTATTTATAGTGACACTCCAATCAGGATTTTTAGACATTTATTGAAAATGTGTGTAATTCCTCTCTTAGGTGTGTCTCTTGTGAGAGAAGCAGCTTTCACACAGGAGTCCGCCACTGATCCGTGTTCACCACAAACACTACATTTATCCATTAGTTTGATTTCAAATCCAAACATTGTCACTGAAAATTCTTTTTCAGCATTGCAATTCTCTTTTACACAGTACAGTAATACAGTCTTTCACAGACATGTTTAAACACAATAAATATAAGCAACGCATTATTCAGTGCTTTTTACTTTTACTTCTAGATTTATATATTAAGCTGCTCAAGCAAGTGGCAAAACATTTAAACTACTTTTCTTACGTTATCACAATCTTAGCATTGACAGAAATAGTCAGCTCTACTGCCTTTCCTTTTGCATTGAACTCCTTATTACAAGCAATCCTGCGGTTCACTTAGTTTTCCTTCCTCCACGAGTGCATCTATTATTGCCGTGTTTATCTAAAAGTGCTCTTTTCCTTTAAACCCAGCCAAAAAGCCATGTGTGTTGACTGAAACACAGTAGACTTTAATCATATGTATTTATGGTGTAATCGTGTCAATCAATGTTCATGTTTACTGCAAACAATGCGCTGTTACTTTAACTCTTCGCTTGCAGCGCAGCAGTAGACTCGGTGCTGAAACGATCTCTGCACTGCTGCAGACGCACCGCTCCTGAACACACCGCCGGACCGCAAACGCTTTAATCTGTTAACATGAGCGCGGAAAAAATATGCACCGCATACACACTGCAAACGGAGTAATGTGAACCCGGCGTTATGTGTGTGCACTGCGAGTGTGCATGAGCTCCAAGAGAGCACGCGAACACTGGCAAGAATTAAAAACTAATGCAATTTATAAACTTTAGTGACGACACAACACTGCCTCGATTGTGCAAGTGACAATTCCTGTGTTAACTGTGCAGCTTATAGTCAGACGTGATGTGGTGATTCGAAGACATTTGTGTATTTTGAGAGAGAAAGAGAGCGCGCGCGGTGATTCACTCTCGCTGTTTGTCAAATTACGTCTCACACAAGGTTTTCAAATGACTTTATAAGTTATATAATAAAGAAATAAAGCATTATAATGATTTCACCCGCGCCAGACAGAGACTGAGACAGTGCCAAACCTCTCACAGCAGCGTCATCAGCTTGAGATCGGCCTTTTTAGAGACCGCCGATCAATCATCCCAACGTGATTATCAGCCGATGGGGAATCGGAGCAGCCCTAGTTTCCATTGATGTATGGTTTGTTAGGATCGGACAATATTTGGTCGAGATACAACTATTTGAAAATCTGGAATCTGAGGGTGCAAAAAAATCTAAATATTGAGAAAATCATCTTTAAAGTTGTTCAAATGAAGTTCTTAGCAATGCATATTACTAATCAAACATTAAGTTTTGATATATTTACGGTAGGACATTTACTAAATATCTTCATGGAACATGATCTTTACTTAATATCCTAATGATTTTTGGCATAAAAGAGAAATGTATAATTGTGACCCATACAATGTATTGTTGGATATTGCTACAAATATCCCCCAGCGACTTGACTTACTGCTTTTGTGCTGCAGGGTCACAAATAGTATGTGCATTTAAGATTAAATTAACATTTTTTAGTTTAATCTATTATTTTAATTCTAACTGAACTCTCATTCTTTTTGTTTTTGCTTTTTAGTTTTTGATTGTATTGTTGTCTTGCAGAGAGAAGCATGAGGGACTCCAGGATTGACAGAGCTGTGGGCGTTTGTAAGAAGAGTGTCAGTGTACAGCAAGTAGAGCTTGGCCTTCCTCCACACAAACTTGTGACTGAATCGGCAACACGATGGGGATCCAGCGGATGCTTGAGCAAGACGAGGCCATCACGCAAATCCTGGCCGCTTGGGCCTCTTCTTGATTTCACAGATGCCCTCTCTTCTGAAAACTACGTCACAGTGTCATGCTTGAAGCCTGTTCTTCACCTATTGAGCAGTGAGCTGCTGCAGGGGAGAGATGAAGACACGGAGCTCACCAAGACAATTACAAGTTCAATACTGGACTACATGAACACCAGAGGTGACCTAGAGGTTCAGGAGCTGATCAACATGGCAACAATTCTTGATCCACGCTTCCGCACTCAGTAAACGAGTCAAGAAGAGATCCTGGTCATCAAAGCCAGAGTCGTCAGAGCGGTGTTCAGCGCTGCTGGAAGTGTAGTAACATTAGTTAGTTTTCGATACAATGCTTGCAGTATTTTTACAGTTTGTTCCATGGGACAGGAGTGCTGAAAACTTAGCCTTCCTAACTGTTTATTTACATTCTAAGAGTGTGTTTCACGCTGAACTTCTTTCATGGATCAGGTTACTTTAACGTGTTTGTTGCTTTATTAGGATTTATTTGCAGTTGCACTCTTTTGTCATTATAAACCCAACTGAAGACATGGCTGGAATTGTTACTTTTGCTGTTTTTGCCACGGGCTGCACCACGAGAGTATAAATAAATACAGAATCTGTTTACAGTTTAAACTTGTAATTGATTTCTGTTATTAATGTGTAATTGTCGTTGTGTGATGTTTTTCAGCACAGTTACTGGAACACAACTTAAACGTAACATAATCTGCTATTTTACAGAAGAAAATAATTTCTGCAAAGGCTGGTGTCTGGATATCGTCATTGATATCGGTATCGCAATAAATACCAGAAATTATCGTGATCATTTTTTTAGGCCATATTGCCCATCCCTATTGTGTGTGTGTGTGTGTGAGAGAGAGACGCTCCAATCTCATCACGTGTGTGTGTATATATATATATATATATATATATATGTGTGTGTGTGTGTGAGAGACGCTCTGGTCTCATCACGTGTGTGTGTGTATATATATATATATGTGTGTGTGTGAGAGAGAGAGACGCTCTGGTCTCATCACATGTGTGTGTATATATATATATATATGTGTGTGTGTGAGAGAGA